CCTAAACCCTTAAGGCCCTCAACCCGAAAGCCCCAACCCTAAACTCTAAAAAAAACCCAAAACCCTAAACTCTAAACCCTAAACCCTTAAGGCCCTCAGCCCGGAAGCCCCAACCCTTTGGGACTTTGAAGCTGCAGGTTCGACTGCGCGACGTTCCGTGTCACTGCGGTCGACGATATCCCAGGCTCACTCACCATATGCTGCATGTGTATATGTAGAGGTACATACATACATATGTATTTATACATAATGTTAATTATATATATATATATATATTATGTGTACATATATATATATAGTGTGTGTATATGTAGAGATACATACATGGGTAGTTCTCTAAATTAGGGCCCCTTTTTAGGGTCCTTTGTATAAGGGTGCCGTACTATATTGGGGACCTAAAGGGGACCCTAATTTAGAGAACTATCCACATACATATATATATATATATATGTACATATACGTAGATACACTTTACCTACACAAATGCTGTAGCAGATAACACAGGCTATATACACGAACTGGACTATCTATCTATGGACACACACACCTTATATATATATATATATGCATATGTGTGTATATGCATATTAGGGGGTATATATATACACACACTTCTATATACACACACATAAGTATGCCGTAGATGCGTGTTCACGTATACACTTGATATGCATACATATGTATACACACCGTATACATATATATATATATATAGATATATTAAATGAATGCAATGTATATATATATATATATGTATATATATATATGTATACACATTTATCATATTTCATATACTGTATTTACTGTACATACGTTGCCTGCCACAAGCTGTGTGTGTATATATATACCTTTATGTTTGTATATACACCTCTCTCTCTCTCTCTTATATATAGATTAGTTTGTATACATGTTGTTTACATGCATGCATACATACATGTATACATGTATACATACATACATACATACATACATACATACATACATACATACATACATACGTACATACATACATACATACATACATACATACATACATACATACATACAATACACACACCCACACCAGGTGTTGTCTTATCATGTGAAGTGGCTAGGGCAATCAGTAAGAAATGGAGCGGGAGTTCCGAAGTTATTTGACTTGGACTTTCATGTTGCATCGGGGCCTAAACCCTTAACCCTCAACCCTAAACCTTAAACCCTAAACCCTCAACCTTGCATCGCGGCCAGGGGTAGAGCTTTGCGGTGCTCTGAAGAACGTCGTAGCGCTGGGAGCAGGCAAAGCTGCGGCGTCCTGAATCGAAGTTCATGGTGGGAATCCTAAACCCTAAACCACGGTGAGAAGGCTTAAGGCTCAAAGGAGCAATGCAGGGAGGTGTAGAGTCCGGGTTTAGCGAGCTGCGCTGTGAGCATTGCCATGGGAGATATGCTCAAAATGCTATTCTCGATGTATACATACATACATATGCGCCGCCATCTGTCTCAACATAGTTTGATGTTTAGACTGGTAGACGACAAATATGGACTAAAGTGCTGTGCTATGCTTTCTCGTGCAGTTTCTTGCTTCAGCTCTCTCAGTCTCTCTCTCTCTCTCTAAACCCTAAACCCTGAACCCTAAACCCTAAACCCTAAACCGTGAAGACCAGCCTTTACCCCTCGACCTTTACCTTTCAACCATCCACTTTAAACCCTTACGCAGGCTTCTGCGATGGCTTGGACTATGGTGGCAACACCAAAGCAGCCCTGATCCGGATTGGCCTGCAGGACAACAGCTTCTCGGGTTCAGGGGTTTCGGACCGTAGGGACCCTACCCTACCTTAAGAATCCAAAACCTACTTTTTTGTAGGGTCCCTAGAAATCCCATATTAGGGTTTATAATAAGAACCTACAAAAAAGTGGGTTTGCGGTTCTTAAGGTAAACCCTAAGCCCTAAGCCGTCGTTTAGGTCTTAGTGCGTTAGGGTTCTTCTTGGTCTTGAGCAGGTCGTGGGGTTGAAGTCTTCGTGGCATGTGCAGGATGCGACCCGAACCTTGATCCCACTAGCCCCAAACTCTACACGAACAAAGGGTTTTAGGGTTTAAACAGTTTAGGGTTTAGGATTACAAGTGCACGAAGACCCTAAACCCTAAACCCTAAACACACAACCCTTTAGGGTTCGGGGTTTAGGTTTGAGGATTTCAAGCCCCACTCGCCGTGGCTTCAGGAAATGAAGACTTTCATCCGGCACTTCTACCCCGAGGTCCTTCCTCGTCCGTGGTTTGGTGCTTTCGGGATTAGGGGTTTGGGGGTTTAGGCCTTAGGGTTTTGGATTTAGGGTTTTGGGGATTAGGGGTTTAGGGGTTCAGGGGTTTAGGGTTTAGGGTTTAGGGTTTAGGGCTTTGGGGATTAGGGGTTTAGGGGTTCAGGCGTTTAGGGTTTAGGGTTTAGGATTTAGGGTTTAGGGCTTTGGGGATTTAGGGTTCAGGGCTTTTGGGTTGACGGTCTTGGAGCCTGACCAGTCGGACTGGACGAAGGGGGTTCCTGTAAGGGTGCCCTTGAAGGGTTCTGTACAGGATCGGTCGGGGTTCCGTTATTGTAGGGGCCGTAGTATTTTGAACAGGGTTTGGGGTATATCATAGCATGATGAAATAGGGACTATAATAAAAAGATACGATTATCAAGCCTTTTCGACCCGCTGTTGTACGGCTTCGCGGCCGGGGTGCACAGGCATCGTTCACAATAACCCCCTATAGCCCTACATAGACCCTAAACTCTACAAACCCTAAACACTAAACTGCTACTGTTGTTTCGACAAATAAAGAGGTCTTTGTAAGTTGTTTGCTCTGCAGCGCGCTGAGGTGTCCAGCAACGCTCCAAAGTTCTGAGCTAGAGCCGTAAGGACGATCAAGCACCATATAGGGATTCATAGTAGAAGGATAAACGGCCCGTACTTTTCAAGATCATTTTGGCTTTCAGCAGAGCCGCACCAGGGTACCTAGAAGTTTTTTTGCGGATTGCCCTTTAAACCCTAAACTCTGAACCTAACTGGTTACTATCAAGGTTTTACAGGGCCTTGGCCCACATTGGTTGCGACGAACCCGTGGATGTCGAAACCAATCGTCCACTCCACTCTCCTGACCCTAAACCCTAACCCGTAAACCCTGAACCCTAAACTTTAAACCCTAAGCCCTAAACCCTAAACCCTGACCCCTAAACCCAAACCCAAACCCCTAAGCCCT